GGTAGGACTGATTTATGGTTCATACGGGCGAAATCCTCCCGGGGTGGGTGTGAGCTTTTCTATCCACGGAGAATATTACTCACGCCGTTCCACTGGTCAAAGTATACCTGACGCGCATGGCTATCTTAAATGCTCAGCCTGGTTTCAGTGTTTTTTAAAGCTTAGTGAAGGAAGACAAGCGGGAGTAACTAGCAGGAAGAGACTCTTATTCCTACGTTCTAAATATAAACAGAAGCTTGATCCTAGCCTTCTGGGTAACCCAGTGGGAGACTGTCGTGGAGACGATTTCCTCAAGGACTATGGTACTTAAGGCTTGGCTGGATTGAGGCCCGTAATCGGTCGTGGTCTTTAAAACAGTCCAGCGAGGTCATCGAGCGCACGGTTGATGGCATTTCAGGATCTCACTCATCATTCAGTGGGAGCAGCTCAGTCGCTGGGTTTGAAAGTCTACCGTCCGTGACACTCAACTTCTGGACACCAGTCAGTCAATTTTCCGTGTCCATCCCAACAGTATGTATATGATCTTTTCCTTGATAAAGGTCAAGCATCTAGGTAGCTGCTAACTCGGAGGTATCCGCCAGGAAGTATCGTTGGCTTGTATAGTATCCCTGTCAGGCTGGGGTGTCGATTGCACTAGGGTATTGGCTATTTGTCAGCTGTTGGGTTTTTCGCATATGTATAAATTTCTTGCAAGGGCTGTGATGACGTGCTGAGATGATCTGATAGTGTACCATTTGATAAGCAACTCACGAGAAATTTTGGGGTCGGAAATTAGGTGGCGAGATAAAGTCAACGGCTTCGAGAGATGATTAAAAGGATGTTTGATATAGGGTGTACGTTTTCACTAACAGAAGTGCGTTCCAAAGTGTTGTTTACTCTGTTCGAGATACGACCTCAGCAAAGAATGTTATAATAACATGGTTAAACAAGATATATGCCTGCTTTTCTGTTGTGTTTTGACCCGAAAATTAACGCAAAACTCTTAGAGGACATGAAGATGTCAGGAATTGGTAAAATATTCACCGGTATAACTGCATGACCACCACAAATACAGACAAACACGTACTAACATGCTACCAGCACAGCCCCAGTATTGCAGGTGACAAATTCAACGTGTCATCTACCAAAACAGTACCTGTATACAAGCTGAATAGTGGTATTAACGAGTGCAGAGAATATCATGTTCCTTTTGTTTTCTGTGCTATTCCAACCAAGGGGAATACACGTCAGAGCTTCACAGCATTAGACTGATATGTAAGTATGCAGAATACCATCAGTGGCTGGATTCTGGCCGAAAACCTATGTAAATTTCGTGCTTTGATAGTCAGGTAACATGAAGAATGGAGACCCAAGTGGAAACTTTACCAAGATAGTATTGCTAACTAGAGGTGGTGCATGCAGAAACATACAGAAACTGCTTGAAAAATGAATTTGCAAAAAATTAAGGGTATGAAAAGACATCAGTATGGTTGGAAGTTGTGTTATGTTCCATAGTTCGTGCACACGCCCTAGCTAGCTAAGCAGACATTGTCTCTCTCTATCTTCCTCACCCCAATACGGATTTCTTATTTTCGACGATCAATTCGTCGTTTTGATTCACCTTCCGGACAGTTGTCTAGTCTATGTAGGACAAGTACTTTGGGAGTTGGAAGATATATACTTATCTTTTCATGTAAGCGTCGCTTGCGGGCTCGTCGGTATCATTCAGCTTCTAAAGTTTCTTGAACTTAAGTGCTTTCTGTCAGATATCTTTATGTAAAACCTCAGTATCCAGTTCTCAAAAAACAAAGACGTGTTTGATGATACTGCTGAAAATACCACAAGGCTTGTAGACTGACTTCTTTTCATGTGTGTGGATGAAACAAACGAAGAAGCGGTGAATATTTTTTGCATTTCTGATGTAACTGGCTAACGGTTACAGAAGATGGAAGTTCATTTTGTGGTATATTTTAAAGGTAAAACCATATAATTCGAAAAATGCTGAACGGACTGGTAATCTTGGAACTGAAGCACTTGCTTACCAGATTCTCTCAAATCCTTGAAACTCAAACTAAGCCTGATTCAAAAGTGTATAAGGGAAGACTTATCTTGTAATCTGATAACAAATAGGTGACTTTGTGGTTGTACTATGACCTTTTCCGTTTGGAAACTGAACTTTGTTGGTTTTGATTTACTAGAAATAATATTAGTGATTTTTGTTATTAAGCTATCAGTCTTTTGTTAACTTATATATCCAAGATAAAACAGCAGCTAATTGATACTTTTAACTTCCTGACAATCAGTTAATTAACACTGCAGTGCAAACGATAGTTTAGAATTTGAGGGTGTTGACGTTCATGGATAATACGATGTTTACTAAAGCAAGATTTAATACCCTGTAGAGGTGAAAAATTCCCCAAAATTATTGACCACAGCAATCATCACTGAACATTGGATGCTGACCCTCGCTGTTTAAGTTGACTTGTTTAGCTGAAGGCTTCCGGTGAAGCATCCATGCCATTTGGTACTCCGTCATGTCACGTTCGTGCACGATTACTAGCCAGTTAAGCATTCACCTCAGTCCACGATTTGGTCCCGAAATATACTACGTACTTTGGACGACTAAATCTGGTCTTTTGCCTTGCCTTTGGTACATGAGGAACGAATACTATAGAAGTTGTTGGTATTTGATCTTGCCTTAGTATAGTACATACAGACCACGAACGTCGATACCGTCAGCCTCTAAACTGGTGAGCCCGACGTGACTGCTGTGGTCAATAATTTTGGGTAATTATTTACCGCTACAACCCACAACTTCTATTGATTTTGTTCAGCGTAGACAAAAGGCAAAGAAAAACACAAGAATTGATCGTCCAAAATACAAAATTACATTTCGGGATCAAATTCTCAGTGTGAGGATGACTGCTTCAATAGCTAGAGATCGTGCACGAACAACCGGACGTAACAAGACGGCGTGCCAAATGGAGTGGTTGCTTGACAGGAAGCCTTCAGCTGAACAAATTGACTTAAATAGTGAGGGTCAGCATGCAATATTAAGTGATGAATGCTGTAGCTAATAGTCTTGGGGAATTACCTACCACTACACTAGTATTACCAGTGAGATATCTTTACTGGTATTCATGATTTTGTGAATCGACCGTTATCTAATGAGTCACTATTACACTTAAATTTTGTCAGGCTTTGAAACGATTGCATTTTTCTTTGCTTGTATGTAATTTTGGCAAAATAAAGACGTGAAACAAGAAGTAGAATGAAGGCTTTAGTGACCTTTTTGCTACTTAACCAGATGGAAAGTATGATTTATACGATACAGCTAAAAAACAAGTCAACTGACGATTGACATTATTCTCTGATTCATTTACATTTTATAAATTTATGTGCCCAATACATCTTAACTGCATTTTTTTAACTATTTTCATCACTTGAGAAGAAAATCTTCTTCATTATTTAGAAAATTTCAATGAGGGATGCCTTCAATTTTCAACACAGGTTCCACTTATTTGTGGATATGCTCCCTAAATATCTTCGGTTATTGTTAGGATGTTGTTGATCAATTAACGGGGTATCAAACAGGTACCATGCAGATTACTTAAATTAATCTTGTTAGGAGTTAGATATTTGTTTTACATTTAGTCACAGTTTCATTTTGACAGATTTAATGGGAGTGATATCGCTTATTAAATATCATCTCCTTAGCATTCTTCAGAGTAACCCACATTTTGTTCAGAAACTATCTTGTTTAGTGTAGTTTTGTCTGTTGCTTTTAAAGTGAAATAGTATTATTTTATTGTTATGCAAAATTCTTGCACGTATGTGGTTTTTCGGTACTATTAAATCAATCATAATTGTCAGAATTATTCGGGTGAATGTTAAAGTTTTTATTATACTGTCTTAATTGTTCGTGACTTTTATTTACTAATTTCACTAAACATCTGATAGTCAATTTACTTATCTTGCATCTATCTAGACAGTCATAGAGGCTTCGAGTTATCGTCAGTCATTATTTCGTCACATATTAGTCGATAGAATTTATAACACTGTGAAATCGTGGTTGCGGGAGAACAGAACAGTATATACAAACCAGTTGGATTGTTGATCACCGAGGTGAAAAAGGAGTATAGAAGGTATATTTGAAGAGCTTTATAAGACAATCACCGAATAGACTATCACAACAAAGCTTCATACCAGATAACTATTCATACAACAAATTGCAAGAGTTTTGCAGATACATTCTGAGTTTTAGATAATATTCTCAAATTCGCTATTTTAGTCTTTCTTTTAAATCTCACCATCTTGAACGACAATGTTTAATTATAACTAAGTACTGTCAGATACGAGTCTTTTGTAAACGGATTCAGAAAGATGTCTCACATCATTACAAAGAGCTCACATCAAATACATTAAGAACATGATAAATGAACACTTCATCAACAGCACACACTACATTCTTATGAAATTCGCTCTCATAATGACTGATAAATTAAAAAGTAATCCATGAAATGTATTACTTCACCATCATCTCTGTAGATCCCAAACAGCGTCGATCTACATATAGGCTCTTGACAGTGGTATCAGAAAGTTTTAATAATACCCATATATCCAGAATTAACAGCCTTCTGATTTTATTAAGCTTCGTTGATCCTATATTTTAGAAATTATCTGGCGTATAAAATGTATTAAACTGACCAACAGAATGCCTATTATTATTCAGTATAGACATGGAAATCAAATTCATGAAGCATATTTCTGTTGCACTGTATAAGAAAGGGAAACTATAGATTGAACTTAAGACCGGGTAGTTCAGTATCCAGTGAACTAATTGTTAATATTCTACCAATGAAAAACAACAAATGAATAGGACATAAATAGATGGGAAGAATATAGTAATAATAGTAATAATTTATTTCAATTTTTCGCATACTGTTACTTTATTAAATCCTATATTAAGTACTGTATATTTTTTAGAAAGCAATTAAACAAATCAACTGGTTTCATGTATTATGTGTGATTACGAACGTGGACTCATTTATCAGATAAACAGTGCTAACGGTATTTTTGAAAAAATTGATTTAACAACAATGATATTTTCATGTTTCACAATATTAATAAATCCAGTGGCATTATGCTTGACATTTAAAGTCGCTATTAACGCTAATCTATTAAGCATACTAATCATGTTTGAAATTACATCTGAAATACTAGTTGCAATATCACAGATTGGAAATAAATTATGCCCGTATTTTATCGCTACATCAGAAATGTGGTTAAATGTTTTAGCATGTTATATGTGGACAAGTGAATTTTTAATTAGTTTATTCAATTCATTTTGTAGACAAAATATTCTTGGAATGGTAATTGAACGTTGTTTCAATATCTACTATCCAAATACAGATCTGTTACGCTATCCTAAAACAGTAGGCGGATTATTTTGTTTTTCATTAACATACAATCTAATCAGTAATTTACATTTAGTTATATCTGTAGAATTAAATTCAAATGGTCAATGTCAAGTTATTTCAGAGGAGATAATTGAACATACACATAAAGTAGATTTGATTGTTCTACGTAATATCTCTTTAGTAATGATCGATATTGTACCATTTCTCTTAGTGATTGTTGTATCTATTCTAGTGATATTAAGTAAGAAAAAACATAAACGTAAGAATAGCATTTTTATTAATCAACAATCAAGTGGTGGTAAAAGCATACAAAGACAATTGGATTTGTTAGTTCTTGTATGGTGTTCACTTGCAGTTATAATAAATGTTGTGGATTTATTTTTAGAGATATGTGAAGCTAACAGAAAGTGTAAATTTACCGCTGAAGTAACTCATGTTACTTTAGAGTTACTACGTTCCATAGTATTTCTTACTCGTTCACTAACTCTACTCACCATTCTATCACCTATGAGAAGTGAAATATTAAAATATCTGAAAACGTTTTTAAAGTATCTACTATTCTGTAAAAATAAAACTTAATATTTACCGTCTTTTAGTTTGATAAACATTAATATTAATAACTGAACTTATCAATATACAACAGTAATGCCAGTCAGTCATTTGAATTTTTATTAGAGTTCATATAAGGAATGCTGAATAAAAATATTATTAAATTTAATTGAAAATTATAATGACTGAGTATTTACCATCTTCATTTTATTACTGATTTAATTTTGTTTTCTTGTACTCTATCTCTTTGTTTCTTTCTTTTTTGTATAAGTGTATTGTTTAACAAATATTCATTTTTATTATGAACTCAAACAAAACATTTTAAAAAATTAGTAAGTAAATATTTCTGAAGATTGAACTATCATTACCTTGCATATTGTTTAAAATCCACAGAAATTCAGCATCATGTGCCGACAGATGCAATGTCATACAGTGGACTAATAGAAACGACACAATGTGCTGAAGTTATATATATACGTTATTCAGTAAAACATTGTAATAAATGTTTGGGAGTTTTAATGGAATGTTTCAGCGTTATTTTGTTTGACAGAGGCTAACATTACAATGCAGGGTCCCGTTTATTTTGTACTTATTATTTGAGATTTGTCAGTTAGGTGTACCAGCGTCCTCAGTAAATGGTGGTATTTCCATCGAGACTTGAAACCGTCATCTATTGTCCTAAGTACTAAAGGATTATCCATTAGGATAGTGAGCTACGAGATTAACAGCTTTTTCGTCAGCTAACAGTTATCAAATATATTGAAATTATTTTGAATTTACCAGTGATTGATTACACTGAACCGAAATGTTTGGCGTCTGTCGACACATCGGCTCTCATTACATATTTGATTCCGAGTTGTCATCAGTTAGAGAACCACTGGAAAATCTAGGATTGCTGGAAAGCTGTTTCATCTTGGTTTGAGACTCCTCATCAGTACGCACCCACGAGGGTTTAAACGCACGACTTTCTGGTTATAAGGCGAGCTTGCAGACTATTCAACCACTGGGACTCGATCGAATGACCCATCAATTCCAACTCCTGCCAATTCGCTTTGTTAATAGCTAAAAACGTCAGCAAATGTCATAGGCGAGTAATCCATGCTTTGATGGTAGTTGGATACTCAGTAGAAATAGCATTACTGAACAAAGTGCAGGCATATTCCGATGACGAATTAAAAGTGGGAAAAAGTCATCAACTGAACAACAACATGCTGGCTCTAAGGCGTCGTCAAAGTGTCTGTTAAACATAACCAATCATTGAGAAAAATTCATGATAATTTTAATCGATGCAGTGTTTCGATGTTTATGGTTAGAAATTAAGGAATCGTTGATAACTGAAGATAATAATATGGGTTAAAATTAGTTTGTTAATTGAAGCACTTAAATTGTTTTGTGATGACGGACTGATTGATGCATATATAAGAATGAGGGTTTTTCGCTTAAAAGGTATTAGTTTTCGGCAAGATTCAATAAAGACAAATGTCGTGTCAGTCCTAGCCATAGGTGAAGAGTACCAGAAAATTTTCATGTTTACTATTAATCAAAGAATGAACAGTAATACTGAAATATTTTGAAAATTGTAACTTGTACACCCGTCGCTAACATAATAAACAGTGGTTATAAGTTTATGTGCTTGAATAAAATGCAGTGTACGTATATCTTCACCATAATAAGAACTCATGAGGAGAATCTTCTATGTCAACTTATTAAGACCTTTGTTTCTCCCTAATTTGAGACTCTTCAGTGGCACGTGCCCAGGGACTTTAGCTTAAGGAGTGAACCTGTTGAACATTCAGATACAGGGACTTAATTCAGTAGCCAATGAATTCTAACTTCTGCCAATTAAAGATATGTAACGCAATTACAAGTCACTGTCATCGACAAATATTTACCGTGACACCTAACTTTATAGACCCCACTGTTCATCACTTCTCACTAGAACTCATGCCAAGGTGAGCATCTAGTAAGTAACTTGGTTGTGACGATAAATACAGACCGATGAGATTCGCTGATGGATATGTATTACGAATATCAGATTGCCAGAAGTTAGAATTCATGTGTTGGCTATTGCATGTCAGCCCAGTGGCTTAATGTTCTATGAGTCCATCTTTTAACTTGAAAGTTCTGGGTGTGACAGAAGAGTTCCAAACAAGGAGGAGGCTGTCAGGTATCTTTCCGTTCTCAATTTCTTCCTAAATGAGTTCAGTTAATGATCTACCCTTAAATCAACTGAATCCCTGCAAACCAATACCTGAGCAGAATAAGCTTGATCTGTTCTCAGTTTTTTTCTCTTTGAACTAAAATAAGTTGTAATACAAGAGGCGAAGAGATGATCTAGCGTTCATCTAAAAGTTGATCTATTTTACTCTCTCCTAAAATAATTATTACACACATGTTTATTTATATGACTTCTATTAATCAACTATATTAAACAGGGAAAGCCTTACAAACGTTGTAAGGACTACTGAATCCACTCATTTCCACTGAAGCTATATTGAGTAATAAATAATAAACCAATAATAAGTAAATCGTGTAGATAGCCATAGATAGTCTTGAAATTTATCTCATCAAGTGGTGTGGAATTTAGGAAGTTTAACGTTTTCTAGAGCAATTAGTAAAAAGTCAGTTTTAGTAATAGTAATAATCTTCAATCTTGTAAAAATGAAACATACATATGAAAGAGTCACACCTTAAATAAGATAAAAAGTTTTTCTAATTCGACCTAGAAAGATGAAATCAAATTTATAAGAATACTACTTTACTTAAGTCTTGATAAAGTAATAACTTCAAGTCTGTAAAAATTCAATTTAATATAATATAATAATAATAATAATAATAATAATAATAATAGAAGTAACAATTTTTCTTGAGTTCACTAACATATAAGAACGAAAATGAATTCATAATTTGTCAATCAAATAATAGGGAAAATTTATAATTTTTCATTAGGACACTGCAGAGAAATGGACAGTTAACTTAGTTATTAGGGAAATTAGTTTTTATCTACCGATTTATATCTTTGCAGGAAATTTGGGAAGTTATTCAAAAGAAATCAATGACCTGTGTATAATTTTTCAATGAGGCGGTTGTCAGTCTTTAACGAAAGTAACATTAACTTCTATATCTACTGTGTATTTTTTTTTTTCGTCTAGGAGAGAATGGAAGATCAGTCAATTGATATTATTTTCATCAAGGCAAGAAGAACAGGAGTTGCAGTATTAAATTTAGTATACGAAAAATAAAGTAAATATTTTACAACTAAGCCTAATAATATTTAAACTTTTAATTTTGAATCTGACAGTCATTCGTAACACGTGAGGAGTTTGAAAATTCAAAAGCCTTCCTCAAAAATCTGCTGAGAATGAACTTTGAGGAGAATGATAGAATAACTTTACTAGTCATAGCCTAAGTAGTCATTTAAAACTGCAAATATAAGCGAATTAATTCAGAGCTGTTTTGTTTAGTTTGGGACTTTTCAGTTATGCTCACTGCTAAGCCTCAGGTTATGTGGAGGCGATTTTGCGAACCAATGACACAGACGAACTCCAACTTGCGGTGTAGCCTCATATCCATCGAAAGTTATCGGTGGGTGTCTTTTAACAACTCATTTCGTGGGTCATTAGTTTTCAGTGGTTCTTCCACTGAGGTCAATCAAACCTTGACAATCCAAATGCAACTCAATTTCACTTCTAACTACTTACATTGAACGAAACTGCTTAAGGCTATTGACAGACAATGTAGGGTTGTATTTATGGAGATTAATACATACTTACATGTTTACAACTGAAGCAAGTGGCTCATATATTACTACCTGAACACGCACTTTTCGATCTTGGTGAGTTGATTTCATAAAACATATCCATCGTGTACAAAGATATAATAATGAATCGTTACAACAACATCATACTTTCTAACTGAAGCTTTTTCAAGCAGTCTTAGAGCCTACTTTTCTACTTTTAGCTCAGTATAATTAGGATTGAAAAACGAAACCCTAGCTGAGCAGCTAGTGGAATTTCACATGATGGTAATGTCTCGCTTATCCACACGAAAGCTGGACATATCCTACGATGATTGCAAACAAATAATCACTATTTAGCGGAAGGGTTTCACGGTTCAACCAGCAGATTGCTGGTCTAGCTGGTCTGGAGTTCACTAATTCGTGTCTTGCCAAGACAAGCGTTTTTAATTCACGTGCAATCATCGCTCACTAAATCAACACCAATCTATCAATCCAAGTCAGTCTCAGATAGGTTCATAAGTAATAAACAATTATTGCATAACTATTATAAACATGTGACTGAATCTGTAGCATGAGTTCTCGGAGAAACTATTCTTTATTCTCCACTCAGTATAGCTGTATAAAAAAATATACATTTGGATGAAAAGTAGGAATGGTAACGCTAACAAACTTGTGAAGTAATCACAAATACTTTTATTCCGTAAATCCCCCTTGTTAGCGAAACCTCTTTTATATTAATCATAACCAAATGACTAAAAAAACTCCTAAGTTTTCTGTAGGACTTGAAGATAGTGTATTATTAGAAACTAGTTATTATTATAAATTATACCATTTTTCAATTTACCTTATACGAATCAATTCGAAAATAATTCTCACACTAATTTATAGCTTAAATTTAATATACATTGAAGTGGCGTTTTTCCTCATCGTAATTAAAACCCACGAGTCATTTTTTGAGAAAATGTCTAGTGATAATTCAAAGCGAAATTATTCCCCTGAGACTTGAACATCTGGAAAATTTCAACTTTAATTTCCACTCAAAAGATTCACATTGCTTCGATGCGATGAATGATGTTAACATTAAGCGGAACAGTCAAAATAGGTGATGCTGTTGAAAAGGTTAAATATCTACAGACAAACTGTTTTTTGTTTATCGGAATGACTGGATGGTTTTTATGTTTATGTAGGAGATTTTTCTGGTCTCTTGGATAGTTAAAGTTATTTTCTATAGTTTGGTTTGTAAGGGTTAGTTATGTTTTTACGTGTTGATCATGGATTGATATCAGTTAGAGAACCATTGAAAACCAGGGAGTACTGGATAGCTGCTGTTTCATTCTAGTTTGGGAATCATCGGCAGTACGCACCCACTGGGGTAAGAACCAAGAGTTTGCTAGTTACAAGGCAAGCTCGTATACCATTCAGCCACTGGTAAATGATTCAGTGGGCAGCCCAAGGATTCGAACTTCTACCAATTCGTGATTTGGCGCAACCCCAACCATTGTCGTTGGTGGGACATCCATCCACACACGTGAGATCTAATTGGACCTCACTGGTCACGACTTCTCACTAGAACTCCAGGAAACTCCACCCTGTAGCAAGTCACTAGCGAGCATCAGATTAATTTTCTATAGTTTGGTTTGTAAGGATTAGTTATGTGTTTACGAGTTGATCACAGCAGCTGTCCAGTACTCCCTGGTTTTCAATGGTTCTCTTACTGATATCAATCCGTGATCAACTCGTAAAAAATTTAAAGCTATCCC